TATATATATATATATATATATATATATATACTAGTTAGGGTTGGTTCAAATGTATGACAGCTCTTAATTAGTTCCCTTTGTTCAGATCACAGATGGGCGGGGCTAAATGGAGCTGAGCTGTCCAATGAGAGTCCTCGAAAGGCATTGTTTCAGCCCTCCTCACCGCCTGTCATGAATTTTCTTTCCAGTGCTCTGAAGGACAGTGAAGGTATGTGTTCATGAGCATTTGTCCTCATTAATGAGTCACTATTACATCTCAAATGCTTTACATCTATAGGTTTCCTATGCGATTCTACTGCTGAGCTGCAGCTCAGTCCAACTGCAGGCCACACCCACTCCTCTCCTCCCAAACACGCCTCCTTCCTCAGAGTGACAGAGTGGGTGAAGGACGAGGACACACCCACACTCCCAGCTAACCAATCAAGGACGGAGAAAATACAAGACAATCACACAGCAGTCCGTTCAGACTGTTATAAACACTTCACTCCACGTTTTAAGACTTCTGTGTTAGACCAGGTATATATTTTTAATCAATTATTCATTAATATGTTAATCTCAAAGTGAATTGTGTTTTATGAATATTTAAAGTATTTAAAACACTTTTGTATAATGTGTCTTTTTGGACCACTTTTTTCCTCAACAATTATTTTGTCTTTAGACCACAGTAGCTCCGCCCTCAGGACAGGCGGGGCTAAGTCTCACGGCTGTGATTGGCTATAATGGCAATGGGCGTAACAATATGGTCTGGAATCCAGACACAGGTAAATACTAGCCAACTATAAACTCTTTTATGATGTCCATCACATAAAATATCCCTCTTGTTGGCTCTTATAAAAAAATCTTTGATGCAACTTGAGCAGATCAAATTTAATGCTACTCTTAATTGACTTTAACCGCCATTTTTGTTGATTTAAATGCCATTTTTGCCTCAAGCCACTGTTAATTTCCAACCCTGGCATTTGTACGCACTTGTTTTGTAGCTACATCTTGTGTGTGTTTGTGTGCAGGTTTATTTGTGTACTCATGTGGGTGTGTTGTCGTCGTGGAGGATCTTCACACAGGCTCACAGAAACAGTGGTTCGGACACAACGAGGAGATCTCAACGCTCGCCATCACCCATGATGCACAGGTGCCGCTCACATGCATGATTTAGTATATACTGCAAATACTTTATATAAATCACACAATCTTCATGTGTTTCCACTAGTTAGTAATACTTTACCAATGATTGTTAGCAAAAATTAGGTGCCTCCTTTGAATGAAACCTCTGTCTGATTTGCCCGGCAGACGGTTGCTTCTGCATCAGGGGGCGGAGCTTCTCACAGCAGCCTCATCTGCATATGGAACGCTTCAGATGGCTCCTGTAGAAACCGCCTCTCCTATCACAAGGGAGCAGTGCAGAGCCTGACTTTTTCCAGGGATGACATGTACCTGCTCTCAGTGGGTCAGTGTTTCATGCTTTGCATTATGGGGTCCTGTTAAAGGAATATTCTTAGTTAAATACAAGTTTGACAAACAAATATTTTGGCTGTTTTGCACAGAAATTGGAAGTCATTAGTAACAGTCAGCAGTATTATAGTTAACTAAAACTAAAAACATTTCTGTTACATAAAATAAACGTTAACTGAAATAAGATAAAATATTAAAATAAACAATTAAATAATTTTATTTCAGATAGTTTCCTAAGCAACATTTCTCATTAAACTTTTCTCTTTAAAAAAAGTGAACACGATAGTGTTATTTTAGACCTATATTTCTGTTCCTGAGTGCTACTGTTACTGACTTCAATTTATTTGTAACTTTGTTATATTGTATTCATCTATGCTTGTAATTTGTGCAAATAAATAATAATGAATAAAATCTGTATAGACATATTTAAAAAAAGAAAACACAACAAAATTACTAAAACTAACTCAAATTAAAGTGAAAACAAAAATATAAAAATACAATCTAATTCGAAATATTAACAAACTATAATAATGTCAATGTAATAATAATAGTATATCAAACATACTAAAATAGCACTGTCATATACTGGGACAAAACTAATGCTGGTTACTGTAGTTAAAATAAGATACATTTTTAATAAATTAGGCTTTTTTTTTAGAAAGATAACCATGTAAAAAAAATTTTTAAATAAAATAAAAGATGTATACATTTTTTTTATTCAAATTCAATTTAATAATATATATTATTATTATAATTATGTTATAAATATTATTCATTTCAAGGCATTCCATGAAAATCACCTCAAGTAATGACTTTTTTTATTACAGATATAGATTATACATTTTGTGTCTTTTATAATGAATAACTTGTAATGGTGCAGTATATTATGCTCCTAGGTGATTTTTCGGAGCCGGTGGTGGCGCTGTGGAGCACACGATCGTTTGAGCTGCTCTGTACCATTCAGATATCCGTCCCGCTGCATGATGCCTCGTTCTGTCCATTCACTGCCAATGAGCTGACACTCGTCGGCAGCAGTGCTGTTGTGTTTACTCGAATACAAACACAGGATAACAGCACTGAACTTCAGGTACTTAACAGACACTGTATGAAAGAAAATCAAGTATGCATACACTGCTGCACTGAAGCACATAAGCCAAAGTAAGCTTTCCTCCTCCTGCAGGTGCAGAAAGTAAGCTTACCTGATACGGTTGGTCAGGCGGAGGTGACATCACTGTGCTATAGCACTCGCCGGATCCTGTACACGGGCACAAACAGCGGCCACGTGTGTGTGTGGGACTGTAACACACAGCGCTGCTTTGTGACCTGGCAAGCAGATGGAGGAGAGATAGGTGTGTGTGTGTGTGTGTGTGTGTGTGTGTGTGTGTGTGTGTGTGTGTGTGTGTGTGTGCGTGTGTTTATAAGAGGTTGAGGGCTCACTAAAAGCACAAACCTTCACAATTCAAAATATAAATACATATATTTATGGTCGTTTTACCTGCCAGTTTCACCTGCCTTCTGTTTCAGCACATCTTACAACAATACAAGTTTTGTATCTGTATTTATGAACAGCATTAAGCTTCATAAAGTTAGCAGGAGACCTCTGATGAATGTTAATGCCAAATGAGGAGGCAAATAAGATACAGGTTACACATTAGAGATCAGTATAGCATAAAATTTATGTGCTAAGAATTGCAAACCAGCATTTATACTGCAAGAAAAGTCTTAAAGGTGAAATGTCATTTCTGACCACGAGAGGCATCAAATTAACTGCAAATAATGACTGTTTTCTAACAAGTATCCCAAACATTCTACTTACCTGCTACTGGTCAAACAAACAAGCGAAAAATTAATTTTAAAAGTCACAGTGTTACGCTAAAGTTGCTGACTATTCCCAGCACAGATGAACAAATGTTATCCAAGAACAGTCACCTTCAACTGTGCAATTCAATAGTATGTCTCATTGATTCTCATATTAAACACATGGAAATATTGTTTACTCCTGACAAAATGAAACTAAGTCATCCTTTACTGTTTCTCATTTGGGGGAAAAGACATTTGTGTTTCAAAAGATTTCTATTTCAAATAAATGCTTCATATTCATCAAAGAATCCTGAAAAAAAGTATCATGGTTTCCACAAAAATATTAAACAGCACTTTTTTCAACATTAATAAGAATAAATGTTTCTCATGCATCGTATGACACTGAAGACTGTAATGGCTCCCTATAAATTCAGATTCGCCATCATAAAAATATAGTACATTTTAAAATATATTAAAATAGAAAAGTTCTCAAATTGTAATAAAACTGATATTTTTTTATCAAATAAATGCAGCCTTGGTGAACAGTCTCTCAATGAATTATTAATAATCACTGATTAATACTGTGGAATTTCAAAAGAATCATCCATACGTTGACTTGAATAAAACCCAAATCAGTTCCTTCTTTAGCAAGGAATGTTTTGTTTCGTTTTAGCTCAGCTTAATGTCTGTTTACTGATGCCATCCAATTCAGCAGCCAGTACACAAATAGGACTAATTAGTGTCAAAGTATGCGAATACATCCAGGTTCTGCCTTGAACAATGTCTATTTAGGGGAGCTACATATACATACATACATGCA